ATAATTATTTTATCGAAGTTGGATCATCAATAATTTCGTCAAATGAAAACTCATCAAATATTTCACTAGACTTCTATAATATTCCAACTCCTTCATCTTTTCTTATGGAATTTAAACATACAGATCAAGAAGAAATTTCCACTATAATCAGTAACTTAAAAAACAATATTTCATGTGGAGATGATCGAATTACGTCAAATTTTATCAAAGAAAATTCTGATATTTTTTCCGAAATACTTCCAACGTTAATCAACAAATCATTCGACATTGCAATGTTCCCAAATTCCCTAAAAATAGCAAGAGTGACAGCTTTATATAAACAAGGAAATCCACATAAAGTTGAAAACTACAGACCTATTTCAATCTTATCAATCATATCGAAAATCTATGAATGCGTTATCAAATCAAGGCTTCTTACACATCTAGTGGAAAACAAGCTTATTCATGAAAATCAATACGGTTTTTTGAAAAACAAAAATACAACAGCAGCGTCGTCTTGTTTAGTGAATGAAATCGTATTCGGTTTAAATAATAAGGAAAAAACTGCTTGTATATTTTTGGATGTTCAGAAAGCTTTCGACTGTCTGAACTTCAACGTGTTGAAGAACAAATTAGAAAACATTGGTGTCAAAGGAAAAGCGGCTGAATTATTATCAAACTACTTGTCTCAACGATACCAATTTGTTAGAGTTTACGGAGTAAAAAGCAATAAGAGAGAAATATTGTCTGGGGCAGCGCAAGGAAGTGTTCTAGGACCACTTCTTTTTCTAATTTATATCAACGACTTATTACACTTAAAATTAAAAAGTACTGCGAGACTCTTTGCTGATGACGCTGCGTTTGTCTACCACTCAAAAAGTTATCCTGAACTTAAAGAAAATATGTCAAATGATATGATGATAATTGAAAATTTTCTCACAAGTATGAATTTAAAAATGTCCATACCAAAGACTAAATTTATGATCTTTAAAAATATTAACAATCCTAAAGAAGAAACTTTCAGTGAAATTCATTTTGGGGAAAATAAAATTGAAATCGTATCAGAATTTAAATATTTAGGCTTACATTTAGACTCTACGTTGAACTGGAAAGTTCATATTGATAAGGTCGTAAAAAATATTTCACCCTATGTCGGAATGTTTAAAAGGATAAGATATGTAGTTGAAAAAAATACGATGCTGAAGCTCTATTATGCTTATATACATTCTCGCCTTATATATTGCCTTCCCATTTGGTCATCATGCACAGTTGATCAGAAACAGCGTCTACAACGTCTACAAAATAAAGCCATTAAGTTTATCCACTTCAAACCAACAACAACACCAACATCTGCACTGTATGACAATAAATTCCTATCATTCAACACACTATGTACATATGAAACAATATTATTTATCCAAAAAATTATACTTGGATACATAAACATAGATCTTGAATTTCAAACAAATCAAGATGTGACTGATAGATCCACAAGACAATCGAATATGTTGAGACCACAAAATTTCTTATCATTAAAATCACAAAAAAGTATTTTCTATCGTGGGATCAACATATTCAACGAATTCACAAGATATATGAGAGACAAAACATGGAGAAATATTGCAGAACTTAAACAATTCATTAAGAACTTCGCATATTCGATGATATGAAATGTTTTCATTTTATGTTTTCATTTTATATTTCACTAGACTTTCAGGTACTCCTATCATCTTCGATGGATTGAGGGGATCTTGTGATTCTCCGCCATTTGTTGAATCAATTAAAAATCTTTTTTGAAACTGTGATGATAAAAGAAATATGTATTTTTTTAAACCTCTGAATTAAATCATAAAAGTATCTCTCGAGTTGACTTTTAATAAGTTTAGGGGCTATCCCATATAATTATTTGTAATAATTTCTGATAGCAATAAATATATGAGAAAAAAAAAAATGCCGTTTCATTGCTTAGCTAGACAGCGTGATAAAAATTGAAAAAAGCAATTCAAAATAAAACACTTTTCNACAAAAGGAAACTTTCAGTCAACAAGACAAGCATAGGCAAATTTAACAAGACATATTGATAAAAATATAATTTTTCAGTTGATTAGATCAATTTCGATTTTTGACTAGATTTGTTTTAAAGTTATTTTTCGTTAAGTGAAAGTCGAATTCATGTTGAATTTGCTTGAATTCCCGTATCAGTCTCTCCAATGGGTTGTTTCTTCCATAGTCAGTTTTATGTTGAGATACAGATTTGAATAATGGAGCGCTCCTTGCTTTTAACATGTTTGTATTGAAGTTGAGAGAAGCTAAGAACTCGCTGCTTTCCACTGATCCATCAAGTATTCCTGCCAGAAACAAATGACCAGCGTTTTTCCTTCTATTTTCTAAAGTTTCTAGATTCAAGTACTTGCATCTTTCATCGTATGTGAGTTCTCTTTGAGGAATCATTCTCTTGCATGCAAGTTTGGAAAATTTTCTTTGAACCATCTCAACTCTTTTTATGGCATCATCTGTAAATGGAGACCAGATGATGTTGCAATATTCTAGATGAGGTCTAACAAGTGCACAATATAAAATTTTCAAAACATTATTGTCTTTGAAGTCTCTGGAAAATCTTCTGATGAATCCAAAAACTCTCATCGCGCTGGAGATTATCCTATTGATATGTGCCGAAAAACTCATGGAGCTGTTGATATCCACTCCCAAATCTTTTATTACTTGCACCATATCTATGTTAAGTTAAGAAAGAAATGTGCCAGATAAGAGAAAAAAGCAAGGATTACGATTTTGGGATTTAAGCTTGCGTTGTGAGTTATTTAATTATTCAAAAGTTGATTTAAATTTAACTTTTTTTCATTCTCTGTCTTTGTTTGTGTTCTATCTTTTTTTAATTATTTTATTTGTAAATGAATGGTTGACAAAGTTTTCTGTGAATAAGAATTTCAATGACATGAAGTTCCCAATTTGGGACATTGCATCACCTCATGGTATCAGATTATTCAGCACTATTCTTATGTTTATACTCTCACATATATCAATAGAAGTTTAGTTTAATTTAAATAAAATTAAGATTATCAAAAAATTAAAATATAATGCGATAGGTAATAAATTTGGAGTGAGTGTCCTTTCCCAGGGCTCCACCATCACGTTCAGTAACGTTAAAAATCCTCTAATATTCGAACTATGTGTGAAAAAAAATCGATTTATGTATTTTAACACATAGTCCCAGGTATAATTATTAATTAGAACGTATTTTTACGATACATAAAGTTATGGTGGTGCCCTGGGAAAGGACACTTTAGCCATGAAATTAAATATTCGTAATGATCTTTTTATATCAACCACGAAGTACAATAGGTTTATGCGGTTTTATTTTATTTTGTGACGTTAAAGGTTTCGGTTGGTGACGTTTGGTCAGTAATTTCTGTTGTTCGTTCCACAGGTTTTGAAAAATCTTCAGTCAGTTTTCCTGCATCGTTCAACTAAGAAACATCTTTTAAAATAAGCTAGTCGTGAAAAAAAAGAAGTTGTTAAAGTGAGAAAATAAATAAAATGTTAATTAAAACTGTCGTAATATTATTTTATGTGAACTTTTGTTTTGGTTATACAAGAGATGTTAATTTCAAAATCAACGAAAATGAAACAATTGTGGATCTTTTGACACGATCCATGGAAATCACTGATTATATTGTGCCAGAAATTGATGGAGAAGGTTCTCATTTTGACAGATATTTAATTCACTGTTGATGAAGAAATATTGACTGAAAATTTTCTTCTTAGATTTCATCAACATTTTGAGTCCAAAAATTATGGAATTACAACCACCATTTGATTTGTCATCGTACAATGTTTCATTGAAGTGCCAACAATCTTCAGAAGAATTTATGATTGCGTTAAACAAATTTGAGCTTTGGGCATTGAGAAGTGAATTTCTTTTGGATGAGTCTTTTGTCAATATTAATTTAAAGCGTCAATATTTTCAGTGTACGATGCGAGTGCGAAGCTTACGAGCGGAATTCTCAATGGAAATGTTAATCAATTTGGGGATTTCGACCAATGCTTGGAAACAATTATCGAAAAGAAATCATTTCAAGCTCAATATTGTCTCGCTTACATTCAGCCATCGGTTTCGTCAAATTTCAAGTATCTTAATTATTTACGGACTTTGGCGTTATCTTTTGAAGCATACAAAAGTAAATTTGAAGACGTAAGTAAATATTAAATCCAAACACAGCTTCCCGTGTCATCATGTTTCATTTTGGTTTTCTTTTATTTTATCGCCTCTTTTTCATTTAGCCAAGTCATGTTGTACCAAAAACGTCACAAATTCAATGGGGTGAGAAATAAATTTAATTAATTTCGTCAAATATTTAATATTCAATTCACTTTTCTTAAAGCTTTTTGCATTCCTTCAACATGCACACATGAAGAACTTCAACATGTTTTACAGCAAAAACTCAAAACGTTTGTCAACAGTTCGATCATTAATTTTGATGTTGAAGTTAAGAAAGAAATGTGCCAGATAAGAGAAGAGAGCAAGGAATACGATTTAGGGACTAAACTTGCTTTGTGAGTTATTAAATCATTCAAAATGAATTAAATTTATTTTTCTTTTATTCTCTCAGATATTTCGTTGCATTTGTTGCAATAATTACTTTACTCTCGACGTTTTATGAAACATATTCAGCATCTGAAAGTCAAAGTTTGTTTTCTATTTGTTGCCTTGTTTTCTATTATTAAACAATTTTATTTATAGATGAATGGTTGACAGCATTTTCTTTAAAAAAGAATTTAAAGGACATGATGTCGATTGAAGTTCCGAAAGGCGACATTGCATCACCTCATGGTATCAGATTATTCAGCACGATTATGTTGATACTTTCACATAGATCAATGGAAGTTGAGTTTAACCCAGTGGTTAACAGAACTCAAATCTCACTTATGGCTAGAACACCAATTACTGTCTTATTTCGAGGAAGTTATTTGTACACGGACACGTTTCTGATGTTGAGTGGAATGTTAGTTGCATATTCATTTATTGGAAGACTTCAACGTGGACAAAATATTAACGTTCTTAAGGAAATTGCTGCTCGATACTTCCGAGTTGTGCCTCCAATGGCAGCTCTCTTATTATTCGGAACTTTTATTTTGCCACTTCTTGGAGATGGACCGCAATGGAACATGCTGATTACCAATCAATCAGAGATATGCAAACAAACTTGGTGGAGAAATTTTCTGATGATTCACAATTGGTTTGGCTTTGAAAATATTTGCATGACGCACACACATCACGTCGGAACCGACTTCAGTCTTTTTCTCATCGCTCCTTTCATGATTATGTGTCTACACAAATATCCAAAGAAGTCGATGAGTGTAATTTTCATACTTGCTTTGATATCAACGATCGGAAGATTTTACATAACTTATGCTCGAGACATGACTGTTTATGTTTTATTTGGAATTGAGTATGGTTGAATTTGTTAACTGCTTCTTAATAGTTTAAGCAGACAATTTGTTTGTTTCTAGGATTTCGAAACTTTATGAGATTGCGAGTTATATGTACATATTGCCGCCTTATCGTTTTACTGTATACGCTATGGGAATTGTGTTAGGAT